AGGCAGGTGCTTGAGCCCAGGAGTTTGAGACCAACCTGGGGAACATCATGAGACCCCATCTCTACAAAGAAAAGTAGCCAGGCATGGTGGTGTGTGCCTGTAGTCCCAGCTACTGAAGGGGCTGAGGTAGGAAGATCGCCTGAACCCTGGAGGTTGAAGCTACAGGGAGCCATGATTGTGCCACTGGACTCCAGCCTGGGTGACAGAGTGAGACCCTGTCTCCACAAATAAAATTTTAAAAAAATTTTATTTATCACCCCACGCTGTTACATCATTCTTACAACTTGACATAGCCATGTTTTTAAGTTAATGTATTTATTAAGAGATGGTCTTGTTCTGTCATGCAGGCTGAAATGCAGTGACACAATCAGAGTTCACTGCAGCCTTTAACTTCTGGCCTCAAGCGATCCTCCCGCCCCAGCTCCAGAGTAGCTGGGACTACAGGCACATGCCACAGTGTGCAGCTAGACAGCTAGGTAGATGTCTTTTTTTTTTTTTAGCAGACCTATTCAGTATCCAAGTCATCATTTTAATAGCTGAAAACATTCCATTGATGGATGAACCATTATTGAACTCATCATTCAGCTAGGACCAGACACTGAAATTCTGCTATTGTAAATAAGGCCATAATGAATGCCCTTAACTGTTGATTTTCTTTTCTTTTCTCTCTTTTTTTTTCAGTTGAAGTCTCGCTCTGTCACCCAGGCTGGAGTGCAGTGGCGCAATCTTTCGATCTCAGCTCACTGCAACCTCCGCCTCCTGGGTTCAAGTGATTCTCCTGCCTCTACCTCCCGAGTAGCTGGGATTACAGGTGCCCACCACCACACCCGGCTAATTTTTGTATTTTTAGTAGAGATGGGGTTTCACCATGTTGGCCAGGCTGGTTTTGAACTCCTAAACCCAGGTGATCCTCCCGCCTTGGCCTCCCAAAGTGCTGGGATTATAGGCGTGAGCCACCACACCTGGCTAAGACGATTTTCTTAGGATAGTTTTTCAGAAGTTGGTTCAGTGGGGACGAACATTTCCAAAAAGCAGCAGAGTCTCAATCTGTCACCCCGGCTGGAGTGCAGGCACGATCTTGGCTCACTGCAACCTCTGTCTCCTGGGTTCAAGAGATTCTCCTGCCTCAGCCTCCTGAGTAGCTAGGATTACAGGTGCCTGCCACCATACCCAGCTAATTTTTGTATTTTTAGTAGAGACGGGGTTTTGCCATGTTGGCCAGGCTGGTCTCGAACTCCTGACTGCAAGTAATCCACGTCCCTCGGCCTCCCAAAGTGCTGGGATTACAGGCGTGAGCCGCCGCCCCCGCAGCATTCTTGAACCATCAAAATTACAGAACTGGAGAACAGAGTGGTTTCCAGAGCTACGGAGGAAGTGGGTGTGGCTATAAATGGGCCACGTGAGGGATTCCAGTGCTGATGGAAATATTAATACTTTGTGTTAAGGTCCTGGCTATAGCCTATGTACCAAAGGACAGGGCCTCCTCGGGCCAGAGAACCGCCAACGCGCAAGGTCTGAGTTGAAGCCCTCCATTCCGCGCCCACTTGTGTCCACCTCCTTTCCCAAATGTGGAGGCTCCAGAGTGAAGAGCCAGGGCTGCGGGCCCCCGGGAAGGAGGCTGGGGCAGAGCACTCACTTTGGTGAAAAGCCTCCACCACTGCCAGTTCCGCAGCTTGAGGTAGGCGGCGCAGTTCCTCTGAATCACCTTCATGGCGGTCAGCTGCTGCTGCCTCTTGGCAAAAGCCCTAGGGAGGGGGGAAGAGAAGGTTGGGGGGGCGGTCATGAAGCCTTACCCTGCTGTCCACAGAGCCCTGCCCCACCGTATCCCCAACCGGCACAGGGACATGCCCCATTCTCCCCAGCTCAGGTTCTTCCAGAAACCCTGTGTGACACGTTTTGTCTGGCTGCAAACAACTTAAATCATCTATAGCCCAGAGCCTTTCTCAGTGGACAAGGAAGACCCAGGGCTCACGACATGCCCTGGACTTAGCTGAGATCCAAACACCGCTCAGAAAACGCATCTATGTGCATCATTCCTAATGGGGCTTCTGTACACCCCGGCTGCACTAGCTGTTTCTGTTTTTTCTTTTTTTTTTTACTTTTTTTTTTGAGATAGGGTTTCACTCATTGCTGCCCAGGCTGGAGTGCAGTAGCACAATCTGAGCTCACTGCAACCTCCACCTCCGGGGTTCAAGTGATTCTCCAGCTTCAGCCTCCCGAGTAGCTTGGATTACAGGTGCCCACAACCATGCCTGGCTAATTTTTGTATTTTTAGTAGAGATGGGGTTTCCCATGTTGGCCAGGCAGGTCTCAAACTCCTGACCCTCAGGTCATCCACCCACCTCGGCCTCCCAAAGTGCTGGGATTACAGGTAGGTGCCACTGTGCCCAGCCTGCACCAGCTGTTTCAGACAAACC